CCGTGCTGACGTGCTGATCGGACGCTGAGCTGGCGTGCCGGCAGCAGCAATGGCGCGGCCACCACGGTGGCTGCGAGCTGCCGCTGCAGCCGCCGCTCTGGTGGATGGCCAGCCCGCTGCCCAGTCGCATCCAGGTCAGAGATGGGTCACTCGGGCAGAGTCTACATACTAGGTCGTTCAATAAGTAAGGTAAAATCGCATTTATTTCAGTCCACCTTTGGTGTAACGACATGAAACTTGCAACATATGTTAACTGAAATCTTGTCTTCAAAATGGCTATAAGCATTTGGTAGCAGGTCCCATCGGTCAGCCACCCCAGCCTTCAGAACTCGCACCTACTTCCAATCACCGTTCAGGCGCACGTGCTTATCTCAGCACTCCACTGAGATTGAAAACCCGCTCGGAAAACTCCTTATTGATGTTTTTTACCATGTCTTTTTATTTTCCTAATTGCCTCATCCGTAAAAAAGTTATTCCCAGAAACAGAACGTCTTCCGGCGATCCGAACAGATTGAAGCTGGACGGCGCCAGATCAGGGCTGTACTCCAGCATTCCTGTACTGACAGAGCAAAGCCGCTCCTGCACTGATGCCTAGTCGGGCATCCTTCTGTTGTTGAGTGAACTCTTTTGGTATCCATCTCAGGCAGACCTTGAAAATATTTAGCGTATCTGATGACGCATGTAGCTGATTCGACATAACACTTCACTCCGTAAATGAAGTCAGTCACGCGAATGCTTTGGGTCTCCATCATCACCTCGCGACTTCACGGATTGTGCCAGATCCAGAGAGTCCTGCAAGCATAGGTCTGCCTGCCGTAGAATTTTGTCTCTTACACTGCCCTATCACTACCCACTGCCCACCACTAAGCATTGTTAATGGCCATATGGCGTCATCAGGGTACAATTTGCTGCCGACGCCGGTTTTGAGATGAATTTGAGGCTCACCTGACAAAACGGCACTTCCCAAACGGAACGGTGCTGCATCGATGTTTTCATACCGACCGTGTTCGGACAATTTTTCAAACTCCTTAAAACGGTTGGATACGTTGTGTAGCAATTTTTTTGTAGATTCAGATGACATATTTTATTTTGTTTAACTTGTTAAGGTTAATGAGCTATTGCACATTTTACCTTACTTATTGAACGACCTAGTAGATGCTTCGGTGGGCGCTCTTTTATAGGCTGTAGCTACTTCTGGGAAATCCTTTTATTGTACCCGGTAAGAGGATTTGGAGACACTCTGCCAGGAATTTTGAACTGTAGAGGCGCTTGGTCTTAGGCTTTGAAGGTCAGGGACCCTGTTAATGACTGTAGAGAAACCCGGCTCGAGGCTGTGGAGACACTCGGCCTGAGGGACTGCTCAGGAGACTCGGTCAAAGTCAGGTCAGGGTACTCTTCCGGAGGCTACGGACTCGGATGACATTTCAGTCAGAGACTGCGAATGGCGCTCAGTCCGAGGCCAGGGATACCATTCAGAGATGTTCGGTCAGGTCAGAAGAGCTGTGTCAGGTCAGAGGTCAGAACCGTGGCCAATTTCCACTGCTGGGCCGGGGATTTTCACTCATAACCGTCAGGGAGTGCGATTTGCGGAGGACAGAACCAGGACCTGTAGAAGCTGGTATGGGCCAGAACGTTCAGTAAGAGGTAAAATAATTCTGGGGCTTGGTTTTTATTTTGTTAGAAAGTCGAACATACATACGTTACTGTGGGCTTGGCATAATTCATTGAGTCCTCGAGGCACTATTCAGTGCTGAGTTTGGTTCTTTGCAAGGAAATCTATTGGTATGGACGTCGTGTCTCAGTTATCTTATCTGATTTTTACTTCACTTGTGTTGGAACTGATTACACCAACAGTCATCGATTATTGAACTTATTATTATTATTTTTTAGTCGGACCGCTCTCCAACGGGCTCTTGTCCCAATTACAGGAGAGCTCCTCCTCCTCCTCCCGGCCCTCATTACCCACCCCCCAGGCTACAGCTGAAGTGGGAGCCTACCCCACACCTGGCGGCACAGCCGGGGACGACGCCCGCGGAATGGGCGGAACCGGGAATCGAACCCGAAACCCGGCACCGCCCGCACCGCGGGTCGACGCCTTAACCGACTGCGCCACCAGGGCCTCTTATTCTGAGAGATCCTGGTCAAACCGGCATCATGTCACTTAGGCTATTCTCAAAGCAGCTACATGAATTCTCATTCTTTGAACCTTAGCTTGACAATAGATGCTAATCTATAGTCTCGTAATACGTTACTCCATCCGCCTTATACAAAGTGGGGTCATTTTGCGGTTCATTCATTAGATAAGAATGATATAAGGAGCAGTAAAGCACCCAAGAACGGGACAATTTGGGGCGATCACGCAAACGCATAATGTATGCTCTGGTTAGCAGCGAAAGCAAGTAGGTTTATCCCGGCTGTTATATGGCCGCAATAAAGAGCTGCGTCAGGAATAACGGCACTGCGTGACCAGCGGAGGCAGCGGGGGAATTGTGCCTCAGCCTCCAGCGTCCAGCGGCTCGAGCTAGCGATCCCGCTCCCCGGGGTGCCCGATCAACTTCCGAGGTTCGGCCGGGTTTTACATTGATATACGAGTATGAACGTCGTGTATAACATGGGTACGGACCTCGTACGGACTCGACGCATAACATGGGCGCAACCAATCATTTGCAGCGTAAGTTTGGATTTTTTCATCGTTGTTAACTTTGCCTCATTTGTGCATGGCTATTTGATTTGGGAGTCTATGAATCCCCGAATTTTGAGAAGAAAATTCGTACTGGCGGATCCGATCTAGACAGACTTCCATAATCTTCATCAAGCTACTGCATTTTCCCATTTCAAATCACGGTAACTTTCTTTCGCCAATTTCAAAGAAAACTGTTCTCCACGCGCCAAAAAGAATTAGTCGGATGAATGTTTAATAAGTTTTCGCGTGAAGCCTACGAACTGAGACGATTCGCCGCCCCCTGGGAGCCATAGCTGTTAAATCCGTACACCGGAAGTGGACCACTTCCGGTCAGCGACCCGGACCCGATCGAAGCGGGCTCGTTCGGAGGTCGGTCAGCGGGCCGTGTGAGGCGGTGGGTGTTGCGAGGAGCCGTGGGAGGCGCTGGGTGCAGGGGTGGGGACTGGGGAGGTGTCAAGTCAATCCGCCGCTCTGACGTCCCCCTATCGCGGTGGGCGGGGACAGCTAACAGGACCACACACACACGTGAAGGAGCACGTGCTGACGGCCCACGGTGATCGATGAACAGTGTCCGTCCTGTATGGGCGGGATGTGAGATCTCTGCTGCACGTAACAGAGAGCAGAGCAGCGCTGGATTCGGCGCAGCGCTGATAGGCGAGCTTGCTATATGTGGTATCCGGATTTGTTAGGGGTTGTATTGCATAATGCAACGTGTATTCAATGGAAATTGTAGTTGTTAATTTAGACAATCGAAGGATTTGAAAAGAAAAGGATCTAGGGGCTATTTCGAACAATATCCAATACAATATCCAATATCCTATTTAAAATGATTTGCTAAATTACGTAGGTTTCACGTTTGAACGTTAATGGTCAGTAGCTTTAATGTCAACTGCCGGAAACCATGCAAGTTCCTACGTAAATATATTTACAGGAGCTTCAACGAAGTGGCATTTCTGCTCAGATAGGTATATGCATGGCATTTGTTTTTTACTCTTACTATATATTTAACATTGACGAAGAGCTGACATTTTGATCTGTCAAACATTGCAAAACTCTTACCTACAATAGGCTATATCACTTCTTCGGTACTTAACAAAATGACCACCATCGCTCTCAGGGCAGAAGGGTTCCTTACATGGGAATCAGTCGAGTATGCAAACGTGGGACTGCAGTCCCACGTTTGCAGTCCCACCAGTCGACTGGTGCTGAATGGTGTAGTTACTAGAGGTGTCAATCGGAACCGAAAATTTTGGAATTCCGAAAATTTCCGAATTCCGATTCGGAAATCGGACGGACAAGTGACAAACACATCGGACATATTCGGAAAACTAGTTGAAAGTTACAAATTTCTTAAATAAGTTAAAGATCAAACTTTTTTCCATTATCAATATCCAAATTGCAAAACATGTCATCAAAATTGGCAGGGAATAGGTGCTTCATACATCATTCATAATCATAGTGCAAGATGAACATAAACATGATTGCATTTAGCGGTTAACCCTGAGTCAAATAAGGTAGGTACATACCCACATGTACTGTGCCAACTTTTAACTCTTGAAAATGTGTTTACAAGTAGCAATAGCCAATATGTGACATTGTTGTCAGCAAGCCCATCATTGGATAACACAGTTATGAATATTGAATATGATATACAATTGACCTGTGGGAAGCACCAGACACCAAAGCAGTTAAGTAGGGAATCCAAAAATAGTTTTGCCTCACTGGAAAGTTAACAGAAAAGAGACTGAAGAAAATTGCAAATAGGTATCAAGGTGTGCCAAGTAGCACAAGAGTCTTACCTAGAACCTCCTATCATAAAAGTCATCCCCTTCTACCCCTTCCCCCAAAATATCCGTGCCGAAATATCGAATACAATGCTACATAAAATATTAAAGTATGCCGATAGCCTATCAATAAAATGATTACCAAAAGGTGATGAAATGCGGCGAAAGCGTCATAAACGTCACCTAAGGAAAGATGGCCTCCCGATGAGAATCGGAGGAGACAAAAAATGACGTCTTAAACAATTAATAGATATTTTTTGCTTTACAATTGCATTATTTTTGAAAAATTATGATAGTTCAAAATACATATTGAATTTAAATCAAACAATTAATGGTAAGTGCACTTCAATAGGACAAATTCTATGATTATGACGTCATATTATTGATTTACTTTCACATCGACTCAAAGCCGGATACCATGTTCCATGCTACCGAGAATGGTAGCATGAAATGTGTTTTTCATTCTACCAAGGATTTATACAAATTCTTTTTGCTTGTGAATTTCAGTGAATTAGTGTTAAATCATAGCAGGTATTTTTATTTTTTTGTGATCGCTTATTCTTTTGGATATTCAGAGATGTGTGGCTCAGTGAAGAGCACGTTTCTTCCAGATGTACCTATCTCACATGTTTCTTCTCACATGAACTATTTTGCTTTTGCAAGAAGTGTTCTACTTTACATCTCAACCAGTGCGGTATAAGATGAAGATATGCATCATTATTGTAAGTGACTAGCTGCTTGCATTATTGCTGTATTGATTCATCATCAAGTGGCTTAGTGCATAAGGGATGTGGCATGAAGTCAATATTTGAGATGCAAGTTCAAAATAGTTGTGAGTTGGAGGGATATGCAATGTTTTGCATTATTCCTGCTTACTCAGCTTCAGTTGTAGGCTGTAGCACATTTTGAAGTAGAATAGGCTTGTCTCAATATGCTGTTCTTGTGTTGTATATCAGATTAGGCCTATTGCCCTAATGCCCATTCCCTACTGCATATGATATTGCTTCAACATTTTTAGTTTGCAATATTTTGCACTCAAAACCAGATGGCGGATCTGTTATTTAGTTATCATGTGGTAAGTACATACAAACATATACCTAATATAGATCAATTCCCCCACCCTCTCTTTCCATATCCAGCTTTCGGACAGTTTTAGGAAAAATCCATGCCTTGGACATTTTTCGGACAAAAGTGAGCTAGGATTTTGGACATTGGACGGACATCGGACAAGAAATTTCTGAAATTGACACCTCTAGTAGTTACCTCAACCGGTAACTGACTGGTTTAATGTCGCCGTTATGTGCTCTTCACACAATTCGACAGCCCTCAAAATCACTCGAACGATGCTGTAAATTTTGTGAATTTTCACTCAGGTTCAATTTGATGCCGTTAATAATTCGATAATGCCAGCGTCAGCCGCCATTTTCATTCCCCTAGAAGCCGGCCCTCGCTGTGACTAGAATAGTCCAGTGAAATATTAGCACGAACATTTATCTTTGCTGACCTTCACGCCATTGTAAGTTTGTCTATCGTGAATCGCGTCTGGTGGCTGGGTCACGCCCAACTCCGCCCGACCGAGACAGGGCGGCACAGTCAGACGAAGGCTGAGGCAATTTGACTGCTGATAAGTGAGGGCACTGACCGTCGGGGAAAGGGTCAGCTCAGGTCACCGTTGCGTCGGTCGGTGGGGGAGGGCGGGACTTTGATAAGGCAACTATCCGCCGGCGTGGTTCCTCCAGGTCCCTGTCAGTCGGTTGGTTGGGGAGGGGGTGCTGCTCACTGCTCAAATCATCGCTGGTCGATCAGAAGTTAGTTCAAATCACTGTCCATCGGTGGAGGTGGGTAGCTCAGTTCACTGTCAGACGGCGTGGCTCGTTCGGGTCTCCATCTGTCGGTTGCGGTATTTAGTGAGGAGCTGTTGAAATTATTGGTCGATCAGGGGCCGACTCACGTCACTGTCTGCGGGTGTGGTTCGTTCAGGCTACCGTCTGTCGGTGTGTTGGAAGCCCAGGTCCCTTTATCGTTACGACCAACCCGTGGCAGTATGTGTGCAAAGCGTTACCCGAAGGTTTGGACTTTGAATTGTGAAAAACAAACGCCCGTATGTCTGCAAAGCGTTACTACTTATGGAAGGGCCAGGCAACTGACCTACCCATCCGGATGGCCCAAGCAGACTGTCAAAAAGACGTTACCTTACTTCAGTTATGTCTTTGAAATATCTGATCATTCGAGCTCCGTCGACCGTGCTCACCAGTGTGTCGCTCACTATACTATGAACTCCTTCCTTTCCTCCCCCAGATGCAGCGCCTATCGGACCCGCGCGATCGCCAGTTCCTGGAGGCGGCACAGTTCACCCCTCCTCTCCTCCGTCAGATGCAGCGCCTGTCGGACCCGCGCGAGCGCCAGTTCCCTCACAGAGGCGGCACAGTTCACCCCTCCTCCCTCCGTCAGATGCAGCGTCTGTCGGACCCGCGCGAGCGCCAGTTCCTGGAGGCTGCAGAGCGTGGCGACATGGCCACCATGGTGCGGCTGGCCTCGGAACCGGAGCCGGTCAACGTCAACTGCACCGACATGCTCGGACGGTCGGCGCTGCTTATCGCCGTCGACAACGAGAATGCAGAGATTGTGGAGATGCTGCTCAAGTATGAGGCCGTCATTACAGGTGGGTGCTGGGTGTCCTGCCGTCATCACAGGTGGGTACTGGGTGTCCTGGCGGTATCAGGTGGGTACTGGGTGACTCCTGCCGCTATCACAGGTGGGTACTGGGTACTTGGTGTCCTGCCGTCATCACAGATGGGTACTGGGTGCTGGGTGTCCTGGCGCTATCACTGGTGGGTGCTTGATGTCCTGGCGCTATCACTGGTGGGTACTGGGTGTCCTACCGTCATCACAGGTGGGTACTGAGTCTCCTGCCGTCATCACAACTAGGCGCTGGGTCTACTATGTAAAGATGCACGCCTATCTGTTGTAGACGTAGACGTAGGGATTGGGAGTTGCTGGGAGGACGATAAGTGGGAATGCTTGTCGCGAGGTGTTCACGTGGCAAACAACTAGCATGTGTGGCGATTCAGAGCTTCTCAATTTAAGTATGGAGGGATTCCGGTCGTTTTTTACCATAGGAGATTTCGTAGTATGCATACAAACATGTTTTGCCGCACTCTATGCTGGTGTAGTTTGATTTTTACTCTGTTGGCCTGCTGGTTTTTCAATTTTTGTTTATTTCAATCTTCAAACTCCTCGCAAACTTTTCAAATGACATGCATTCAGGAACACTTTCTGCTCCAAGCAGGCTGGGTGAGCCTTCGCTGGAAACCGATGTCATATCCGCTAGAAACCGACGTCAATGCCGTTGGTAGGTAACCGCCACCAAATTAACATGTCTATCTGTCGCTGTCAGCTTGTGATCTGTTCGTACAGCCGCCGCGCCGGCCGCAGATCAGTGAAAGTTCAAAAGGGTGCCCAGAGCCGTCCTTTAGCTGGCTGTTGCCGACCGATTTGCATCACTTATTACATTGACGGCGACTGCTTTTGAAACACTTTGTAGGTAAATGTCTCATAACTCACAAGAGGCTTGTTCGCTGCTCGTTTCTCAGATGTTGTCATCACATCTTCATTCATGGCGGTGGCAGCTTCATGCGAGGGTTAGACGCTCAGCATAATCGATTGTCGTTCCGCTGAGACCTTGACAGTGCCAGCGTGCCGCTGACAGAGTAAATTAACTCGTCGGAAACCGATTTGATAGATGCCGAGTCGTCCGCTTAGCATGCGTTCCAGGTGAGTCAGGGTAATGGACTACCAATCTGCTTTACTAGTCAGCCTTCATGGAAGCTATTGATTCCGATGGTCATGACATTGGCCTTCATGACTGAAGACAGCGACTGTGCGGTGGGTTTCCGTCGACCTGATAATAGTTAGCCTGTCGTATATTGTTTTGGACAGCCTGAAGACATATGCACGGCTCGTCTGATAATTGGAAACTGTCCGTAACATGAGGCAAACATAATTCACATTAGCAGTGATTTGTTGTGCGGAGCTCACTGTATTTATTGACAATAATGTGCACTTGACAGGCTTATATTTTATACCTGATGATTTGGATCCCATTTCGTCGCCTGAAGTTATCCAAAAGCTGTTATATGTGCGAGGCACGATATTTGAATGGGCGTCACTCTGCCGCGGGCCATCAGGTTCCGTAATTTGCCTAATCCCGAATGTGCGGACCAATTTCCCGTTCAGTCACGGCCGGGGTCGCGGTTCCTCGTCAGTATCTAGTGACCTTTGCCCTGTGACGCGGGCTCATCGCCGGGCGCGAGCCTGTGCCATCCCCGGGTCGCTCGGCGGTCGGGTGGCTGACCGTCTCTGAGGAACTACACAGACACCAGGGACCTGTTGGCTAGCTCTACAAACTGATAAGTCCATTTCTGTCTCACGCCGTCTCGGGCCCTGTGTCGTCCTTTTAGGTTATGCACTATGCACTGTGCGTTGTCGCTCTCTTCATTTCTCCCTTACGTTATCCCCTACACTCCCCTGTTAGTGCGGTGTGATTCCGGGCTGGATTTTATTTATTTTTTTTATAAATTTTTAGTCCGAACCTTTTGATAGGAAGGATTCACAAGGACAGAGCCACCGCTAAGCGAAGCTTGTTGCGTTGACCCTGCCCTCTACCCTCCGATCGCGCAGTTCCAGTCCTATGGCAGAATTTAGAGCCCAAAGTTTAACGTGCGCGCATAGCCGCGCACGGCCGGTCCCCTCACTGACTTCGCCTGGCTAACGGCCTGCCACCAACCGCAACCATACCTGTCAGGAGGCCCATAAACGTCAAGCGCCCGTCGCGCTTCGAACCCGGACTGTTATGATCGGGAACGCGTGCTATCACCACGCGGAGTCCAACGCTCTACCCACTGAGCTACGGGACCGGCATGGATCTCCCTCCCGCCGGCACACAGACCTATGCCGATGGGGTCTCAGATAATGACAAGGTCATTAAAGGTGATGAATCATTAGTATGAATAGTGTCAATGCATGCGTTATATAGTTAAATTATTAAAAATAAAAATTCGGGCGTAAAATGCCCTTAGTAGTCGGTGCGCCCTAAAGCCGTAATAAACAACCAAACAAACATGCGTTTAAAAAAATCGTTTAATATCTCCCTCCTCATACATGTCTTCACTTTTAGCGTAGTTTTCTTGCAGCTCAACATCCCTAAGCTTTCACGATTTGCACTATAGTGTTCCTCCGAATTCGCATATGTATGGTTCTCCCGCCAGTGTTTACGAGTCCACTGTGCCAGTCTTGCCGCGTACCCAGCATGACCTCCGTCTTTCTCGTTAGGCGGCCGACAAATGCGGTCCTGTTACCCGAATAGGCCTAATTACCTCGTGGGCAGCAGAGTACCTCCAGACTCATGAGGTTCATGGGGCCAGATTTGTTGTTAAAATAGATTCTCAAAGTTCAACAGGTTCCAGATTCTCTAATCGCTACACTGAAATGCTCTTACTACACAAGTAGGTACTTGCACACTACACAGACTCCTTTGTCCGGTAACCAATTTTTGCTTGTCAGGAATTTTCTCTTTTCTGTTTGCTGCAAATGAGGGAAAATTTCAGTGCATTGTTTGCCGGCTGTCTGTGAAGTCTTACTTCTCTTTCAAGTTCTGTTTTTATGTGTGTCTGTTTTTTTGGGGGGGGCTGAGGGTTGACTCCTTAGACGGAACATCGCCACATTGAGCGGCGGCCGGTCAAAGTTCGCAGCCGCCATCCGCTGAGTTCGGCGGAAGGGGCCAGCGCGCAATCTGCGGCCACCGCGACTGATGTGTGTCGAAATTGACGCGGTCGCCGGTGAGCGTGCGCCTCCGATAGTGGCCCGCGGTCACGGTGTCTTGCTCCGGTCTGTGGCGCGGACGGCGGGAGTTTGTCCAGACGTCTGTGTCGGGGTGTCATCTTTCTCGATAGGGGCAACGTCGGCGGCGGTAACTGAATAAGCGTCATCATCAGAGTTCGCACCAGGGCAGTGCCCTGCGCAGTGTCGCCAGCAAGGCGTCCCGGCGGCAGCACAGCAGATATCATCGCCGGCCATCGAGATCGAACGGCTTAGTGTCGAACGAACTGAGGCTAAAAGTAAGCGGCAATTAGAGGAAATGTCTCCGGCTTGATAGGAGCTCTCCAGCACCGCTGCTCCTCGAAGGGATGAAGTTTTTAACTAACCCTGTGTTTAAAAGAAAGATAGGTACTCTTTTCAGCGAATCAATGACAGTGACAACGACAGCGAATCAGTCAGAAAGCTGAACTGCAGATTGAATGTCTCAGCTTTTTTGACGAAGCAAGTTTTTAATTATTGGTTTCTAACATTTACCTGTTAGACAATGCTTTTTCCTCCGCTAGCATATACGAATGATGAAATTAATCAAACTTTATCCGAAACCGTTAATTCTTTTTTCGCCACCCAATATCCGTGATGGGAGTTCTGGGAACACGATTATCGTTCCGCCGCCGCCTATCGTTCTCCGCTCGGTCGTTGTGAGCCTCCTCTCTATGGGGCCGTCGCTGTGGCCCACTCGAGGCTGCCCACGCAGCAGTGGCGCCGACAGCGGCGGCCATTGTCTGTACACGGCGCGGGCTGCACGTGCTGACAGCGGCCCTCCCGGGACGCCGCGGCCGCACATTCCCAGAAACCGGCGCAGGTTTCCGCGGCCGGAGATTCAGCAATTTTCCCGGCGCCGGGCGCCGCCGAGTGGGCCGCGATTCCAATCAGCTATCGGGCCTGATCCAGCTCAACGTGGTCAGCCGGGAAATGACCAATGCATAGTTTTTTAGTTACCCCCGAGTGCATCAAGATAATGAGCTGAGTGTTACAAAAGGTCCGCAGTCTGCCTTTCTCACATGAGATTATCGGCTATAGGCATAAGGTTTTGATAATTTCCTAATCACGTTGGAGACTACAGTAAAAAAGAGGCCCAGAGAGCTTCGACAATTTCCCGTTGCCGTATTCCTTTTTCACACTAGCATAACAAAATATAAGACTTGTCATTTAATGCCTCTGTATGTTTATTTATCCATTAGTTGTCGGTTTTTGTTTGTACTGTCCTCTCATATAAACGTCATCCTCTCAGTTCGTCTGTCAGTGACCGCCCTGCACGACCCCTCGCCCCCGCCCTCCCCCCTCTAGCTGCGTCACGTGCCCTGCAGACTCTGATTGCCCTGGGCCAGTCGGCGGCCGACCCCGCAAAGGGCGCGCCACACCTCATTATGAGTCTGCCGACCCCCCGACCTGCCATTGTCACTGGTCGGTGGGCAGAACACTATATACTCTGGGCAGAACAGCGGGGCATCGGGCGCAAATAGACAACTATCGATCTCAGCCGGTCACCTGCTGCAATTAGAGAGTAGTTGTGTATTAACGGATCTAATTGGTGAAAAAATCTCGGTAGCTGGAAAATGTCCTAGTGATAGCTTTTACCGTTTGTTGAAAGTATGTAGGTCTTTAAGATCTAGGGGACCGCAAATGAAATTGATGCGAATAAGATGCATACGATGGTAATGTAAATTGTAAAAGGTAAAGGTCTATGTTTGCAATAATGTAGCAGTGATGGCCGATGGGCGATCTAAAGATACACGGTCAAACTTTGGCACTTCCGACTTTGGTGCGACACCCTGAAAAGCAAGAGATTGGCCGTGTGAGTGATTCGAAGTTGGTGTGAAGTTCTATAGGCACGAGCCTGTTGAGATTAGAACCGTGGTTGTAGCTGGTCAGCTCCTAGGTCTCAGGACCTGGCATCCTTGAGCTCCTTTCTTTTGGACTACTCCGACGTGCACCGTAACAAGCCAAGGACTCCGGGGAAGATCTCAATAATTATCAGCGAAGCCGACTTCACTCTACCTGTCGTCACCAGAGCCTCGTTTCATAAAGGAGTCCGTAACTTACACCGGTTTTTGGGCTTGTATTGCAAGCGCATGTGAAGCGATAAATTTATTTCCCCTTCTCCCTTCTGTTCTTGCTTACAAGATAAATAAATTCAACGATACAAACTATCGTCATCGCTTCACATGTAGGTACTTGCAATACAAGACCGAAAACCGGCGTAAGTTACGGACTTCCTTTATGAAACGAGGCTCAGGAGTGTCACATATGCCGCACGTCGTCGGCCCGAACCTGAATGCTCTTGGCCGAACGTTCGTCGCTTTCGCGAGGAAAGCGACGTCTCTTTTTAACAAGTTTTTAGCACGCCCCATTGAAATGATTCATGATGGTGCTATGCAATATGATTATGTGGAATGATTTCTCTCGACTCTCTTCTACCACCCAGTCCTGATCAGGCTTTCATTGCATCGTTTTATTACAAGAAAGTATCACCAATACGGCTACGGGTTACAAGTGAAAATTCGTGCTTTTGAAAACTGCATAATTCACAGCTGCACCAAACGACCTGCAACATATACCCGAAATCTATGCAAAAACTTCAATAACTATGGCATTATTGACTCCATTTTGCATACCCATAACCCCAGGCACCTCGAATTACTAGTGGATTCCATTGTTCTGCTGCAAATCACTCATGGAAATGTCGCTCGCCCAAACGCCAACATTATGCGCTCATTTAAAGTCAGATTCTCTCGAGAATTTTCATGAAATCTTTCATCACGGCGCAGAGAGCAACACCGCATGTGTTTCATTTCACGTCACATTAGGGCATCTGCATAATGCATGCCACATCAGTGAGTGTAATTTGCTGAAGACGCGGCTCGTGGGGTGCTATCTCGGCCAAGTTATCCGCGTGCGGGCCCGTGCCAGCGTGGCACGCAGCGGCGTCCACAGGCGCGCACTCCACAGGCGGGTATGATGCATATCGTGTAAGCTCCTGCCCCTGGTCAGAGTGGGTATACACTATACAGTCACAGTGTACAGATCAGCCAAGGGACGGATTTATGGACCGACGAGCAGTGGATGTCGGCCTGCCTTGCGGATCTCCACTGATTTAATTCGTAGTCCCAGTGGTCTAATTGTGTTAAGTCATGTTCAATTTGTGTTAAACTCATGACCTTACCTTCCCCAAGGCCGATGTACGTAAATGTAATTGGCCCTAATATCCGTTTGTTCATTCATCTGACCTTGACCAGTGACCTGACCCGTCTCCTCCTCCGTCAGGTAACGCGCTGATGCACGCGATCGCCGAGGGCTCGTACAAGATCGTGGAGCTGATAGTTCAGCACCCGTCCATCCAGAGCGACATGCTGTCCTCACCTCTGCCACCCTCCGAGAGGAGCGACGCGCCGCCCGGCGTGTCGCCCATCATGATGGCCGCCCAGTGCAACCAGTTCGAAATCCTGCAGCTCTTCCTCTCATACGGTGAGCGGTGGGCTCGAAATCCGGCAGCTCGTCCAGCCGTGGTGAGGGATGTGGCTGAAATTGGGTGTGATGAGAGTCTTGGAGTTGATCGTGTGCTATGTGATAGGTTGATGTACTCGAAACGCTGCGGTTTACTCAGTGTGTGATACGGTGACATATGGGGTGGAAATCGTTCGGATATGCCGTGAGGCTGGTAATGTTCGCTGCAATGTGCACAGATTCGGGGAACGTTGTAACTCACAGTGTCGGAGTGACTAACAACTTCCAAGTTCTACTAACATCTTGCGCGAAATCATAGTCTCGTAAACTTATATTGTAGCTGAAGTCCTATCAACTACGACTTCGCAGCTGAAAATCCATAACCTATTTTGAAAACCACCCTTGCTTGGTGCACTGTTTCTCGTCTGGTGTAAGTGATACTGCCAGACTGGTTTAACGTCTTCTGCCAGCGGTACATTCGGTAACAGCTACTCGTCTAATTAATTAGCTAGTGCGCTCGTCGTCAGACCACTGACGTCATGACTCCGTACGGCGTCGCCTTACCAAGGTGTGTTACCTCAGCTGCACGTTAAAATTAGGCTGGCTGCCGTCACCAGTTCCTCAAATATTCTGTCTCAGCTACGGTTGAGACGCAAACGATGATTAGCTCCGGTTTCAGTCCTCCACCTCCGTCTATTTTTTCAAGACCTAGTTATACTTATGACGTCATGGAGAGGACAGTTTTGCCGACAACTGCGGCGCTTTCATCGCGTGCTTCTGCGAGTTTTCGGCCACTTATGACTGATAAATATCCGTCTGGGAACATTACCGGGCGGAGTTTCGGCTGCGCCCAGCCCTAACTGGGCGATCCATTCCGCAGTGTGCCCAATGTTACCCCAGACCAGGTGCTCGAAGGAGACTGGGCCTGTGTGAACCCCGGCCGCCGGATCGGTCGGCTGGCCGGGCCAGACGCCGTCGTCATTGGAATGGCCGACATTGTTGGACCCGGTACAAATCGGAGAATGGTGGGAGATTACAGAGGCATTGAACCCGGCCGCACCGTTTGATCTCGGCTAATAGGCGATTTACAGGATCAACCTCATATTACATATATTTAGGCACTGCTCAGTGGCAAGCGAAAAGCAATGACAGCAACTGCATTCGGCTGCGGTTGGAAATTTGTAAGTGTTATGTGAATTACAGCACAATTTTACAAGACAGACTACCATTCGGGTCTCTGATTCTATCAAGTACGTACCCGCTCGCGCCACGTGCCGTTCAGTCTCGCCGCGCGCCCATCACGGTGCGTTTATTTCCCGTCGGCCGGTGTGTGTGTGTTAATTGCTCAGCTGTATGAGCAGACCGGCGGTCACGGATGTTTAACCCGGGACGGCGAGAGCGGGCTCTGCCATCAACAGCGCCATTGTTTGGAGGTGCCGGCGGCGGCCATACCGGTCCTGTACTCCGGGGCGGATGAGTACCGGTCCATTTCGCGGCGGCCACGGTACCAGTCCTGTGCGCCGCGGCGGCCACGGTACCGGTCCTGTACTCCGCGGCGGCCGCGGTACCAGTCCTGAGTTCGGCACCAACTCCGAGGTGACCGAGTACCTAGTGACCTTGCAGAGGGAGAACCGAGTACCGCGTAACTCTGCATTGGGGCAGGCCGAATACCACGTAATCGTGCGGGGAAAAGACCAGCAATGCCTAGTGGCAACGTTGTAAATTATCTTCGAGACCGCAAACATAAAACAGTTGCATAAAAAGCATTCTGCGGAGCCTTATGATCGTCAATTTTGTACACTCTTGCCTCGTACTTTAACACGCGCAGTGGAAGGGTTGCGAGTACTACGCCCAGTGGAAGGGGGGGGGGGCGGGTGTCGCCCCCCCCCCTAAGATCTCAGCTCCCACTGGAGCTAGAAAGACGAAATTTGGAGGGTAGGTGGAGGCCATGGGGAACTCTGTTGTGTGTGAATTTCATGACCCTAGGTCAATATCTTCAAGGTCAAATGAGGTCAAATGTGGTCAAATCTGCCATATTTGCAACTTTTTTGCGTTTACACGCCGATAACTCAAAAAGCTACCGGCCGATTTTCTTTTTTCTTTCACTATACGAAAGACCAAACCTTTGTGAGTATGTATGGTGAATTTCAAGTTAATCCAACAATGAATATGGCAGTTAGAAGCCTGCTAAGGGTAAGATGTCGCCGGCTGAAGCGGGATCGGCCGACGCGGGAAACGCGGCAATCACAATTTTGTGTTTACACACTCATAACTGAAGTTGTTACCGGCCGATTTTCAAAATTCTTTGACCATATGATTGCCTGTACATTTCTCAGTCTTCTCAACAAATTTGACGCGAATCTAATTTAATCAGCGGTAAGGAGCGCGATGTAAAGACGGTACCGTCCCGCCCCGGCACAGTCTACAATTCAGGCGGCGCGTAACGGCTAGCGCCGGCCGCCGCGCCGCCGCGCCGCCGCCGCGGCAGGATGTTTGACTTTACACCGCTGTTACTAGAAAAGTTGTGAACCGATTTTCTTATTTCTTGCAGGAGAAGATCCGCAATTCAATTCTAGACCGGTAGCCAAAATTTCACATTAACATTATGTTTGCGGCGCGAGTTATTGGCGAAAAACAGGAGGGGTGGGCGAAATCCGCCCCCCCCCCCTTCCACTGCGCGTGTTAACCCTCGCCCGTAAACGGCGATCTGCCACCTTCGCCCATGCAGGGGGGGGTTGGTGCGACCCCCCCCCCCCCCCTTGGCGTTTGAAAACGGAGCGTCGTAGAGCTTAGCGGAAAAAACCAACGGATTGCTCTCAACGAGATCTCGCGATTGGTGGTATATTTTTTGGTCCTAGGTCAACATTTGACCTACTTTTGACCGGTCAAAGGTCAAATTTTCGGAAAAATAGACTTTTTCAACTTTCCGCGGCGATTGCGGCAAAACGGTGGGAGATATCGACTTGAAACCTTCACTATCGTGTTCCTTGATCAATTCTCTATCGTTTGGTATGTATTTCGTTTCCCTAGCTCTAAAAATGGCGCGTTGGGAGCGCCGGAAGTCGGCAAGGTCACAGTCGGCGGCAGAAATTCGAAAAATCAAAATTTAAATTTTTGAAATCTGATTGTATTTTTGGATTTGGGAGGTCCATTTGCTCCCTATAGAAGCTAATATTGCTGCATATTCCCATTGAGGTGACAAGAATTAGCAAAATAGTGGTTCGGGCGCTTTTCAAAAATAGTACCGGACGCTGTTCCTCTTGTGACGTCATAGCTCCGTGACCTGACCTGACCCGGTCAAGTTTCTTATACCATATGATAGCCAATACTTGCCCCAACATGCATGGGAAGTTTCATCACGATCCATCAACCGATGTCCGTACCACCGGCAGGAAACCTCGGGCGTTGGCACTCAGTTTGTGAAAATCCGGCCGGAGGCTGTTCCCTTTGTGACGTCATAACTCCGTGACCTGACATGACCCGGTCAATTTTTTTTTATCAAAAGATGCGCAAGGTTTGCCCCATAAGGTACCCAAAATTTGGCGGCGCTGCGCGCCGCCGTTTTTGCACTATTTCCGAAAAACCTCAGGGGGGGGTTGCACCAACCCCCCCCCCCTACATGGGCGAGGGTTAAGGTTTCATAGTAGTTTCGAAATGCCACGGCTATTTCGGAGACTGACCAGCATTTATTTGAAGGCTTTCGGGCTGCACTTTGGCCTCCATTTTACCGCAGGGTCCAAGAGCTGAACAGCTTCTGCAGCTCCAAGTGTCCTTCGTTTATCTGAGTGGGCGTGATTCGGCGAGTGACGTAAAGAACTCCTTTTAGGTTCCGGGTAAAATTACAGAAAGACCATGTCAACAGCGGTGCCAATTTCATTGAGTGCGGTCGGTTTGCTCATCCGCCGCGGCCCGTCGTTTAGTCATCTCCGGCAGACGCGTACAGACAGGTATCTGATTGACAGAGCTCCCCAGTATGCATCTCTCTTTTGCGGCACATCTCACCAGCAGGTCTATTTCTGATGTGACGCATCTCGCCAGCAGGTAGCTATCTATCTGATGTGACATCACCAACAGGCGTCTGGTAAGACATCTCGCCGGCAGTTATCTCTCTGACCTGACATCTTACCAGCGGTTCAGGTATCTCCCTGCCGCGGCACATCTCTCAGCGGCCCGTGCCGTGCGCGGGCGGCGGTGACCTCTGAGCACCAAATAGGCTGGGGGGGAGGGGGTGATCGACTGGGGACGGGTCGATCGAGAGGCCGCAGTCCTTCTGGTATTGATGCCCGGCCCAGCCTACTTCAACACGTCTCTCCGGGCGGCGGTTGGCGACTATAGACAGTCTCGGAGCGCCGGCGGGGGTCCCATTCCACCAGAGGCGCCGCCCCGGGTCCAGTTCCACCAAAGGCGCCGCATGGGGTCTGGTTTCGCCAGAGGCGCCGCCCGGGGTCCGATTCCGCCACGGGAGCGGCCGAACGGTGCCCGATGGCGGATCTGTGACAATTAGGAGCGCGCTTTAATGTGATTAGGTAGGGCATGGACCAGACTCACTGTGATATGATTTCAAATCTGGTTAATAATGCAATTTAAATCATAAGTCAAAAATCAAAAATTGTATAAATGTTAAATTATCTGCATGGCTAGGTCTCCCATGATCACTTTAACCTTTTTTATTGGGGATTGTAGTGGGGGGTCAGTCAATGACTCATGAGCTCATTGACTACTTTCTATCTTATGATTATACCATACCTACATCCTCGCTCCCTTCATGTCTTCTTTTTATTTCTTTTCCATTTCTTAGCTGGGAGTGCCGCGACATTGCTATTTTTTTTGTTTTTTTTTCTGGTGTTAACGTAAGGGTACTGTGTGTCGCTGGGTTCGAGGGTGGGGGCACTCCTGGTCACCTATTAATGGGTGGCGGCGTAAAAAAGTAAGCTGCATATTTAGTTTGATTAAAGCACGCGGGGAAGTCGGATGAAGTGATGACAGCTTTGATTTCAGCTCTTGCTATTATTTATTTTGAA